CCCAGTTAGTTTTGTTTTATTTCATAACCATCGTTAAACAGCCGATACAATTTTGTGTTTACGACAAATGTTCAATTAAGTAGCCTTGTAATTTTGAAGCCGATCCAGAAGACAATGGAACTCCTGGATCAAGTATTAGGAGAAATTTGCCTTCGAGGAAGACTTTTTGATTGAACTTTGCGTTACATGGAGAGGAAAACCNAAATTAACCCCCATTTGTGTTACATGGAAAGGAAGACCGAGAAAACATTCCACGGTTAGATTGACTAAAAGGGGACTCTAACCCATGATCCATCTACCACTGAGGATATTTTACGCCAGCATTGTGGTCGGTGTGAGCCGGGTGCAGAATTCACTTCTATCAGCCATAGCAGGGATTTGAACCCTGTTCACCTCATTGGATGTTGAACGCTCTATCCATTGAGCTGCCGCGACTCTTACCAGTTAGTTATAGAAGATAGAAAGTTTTCAAAAAAAGCTTTAAAAAATATTTAAACACGTTTTCAGGGGCTCGAGATAGTCTGGTTGGTAAGGCACTGGACCCATGTTCAAGAAGTCGTGGGTTCGATCCTCGCCGGCCGAAGACTCCCAGTGTAGTAAATGGTGATTGATATACGAGTAATCTGTCGGTTCACAAAGTCCTCCATTTCCCTTAACAAATCATTCCTCTGGGGGTACTGATCCAGGAGTTTAATTGTCTTCTGGATCGATTCAAAATTATAAGGTTACGGAGTAGAACATTAGTAGCCGTGAACCCACAATTGGGTCGGCTGTTCAATACCAGTTATGTTGGCGCCTCTATCGGCTTTGGCTTCGTTTATCTTTTCATTTGGCGGAAAGAAGAGCTCTTGTTGTTTTTGTTTTTGATATAGTCGGACGTCTTCAAATGGCGTCATTCATCGTTTGTTAATAAATTGTTAAATAGTTATCGTTTGTTCTTAATCATTCGTAAATACAGTCCGCATATCGACCCCCTCGACATGTTCTTGTCTACCCGGAGTTAAAACCTGATATAATTTGAAAATAACAATTTTGATCAACTTTCGTTTTCGTTTCGTCATAACTTCGTTTTGGTACTCACATTTTCGATTTATAAAAATGCCTGATACTTCAAACACTGAGGAACAATATTTTTTTTTCGCCACACGATAAAATCTAACCACATCCTGGGATTTTAATCGCAAAATGGTAAGACTTTTTTATCTGATGATAATTTACTTTTATAAGCAGGTTTAATTTATCTTTAAATTATCTTAAGTAAATTATCTTCAGTTGCAAAAATGGATGGCGAAAAGAAACTTCCTGTTTTGAATATCTATACTCTTCCAGTTTCATGTGATGAAAAAGTTCACTATTTACCTGAAATTAAAAAAAAATTATGCATGAAATTTGTTCTGAAGTTAGTTCTTCTCCTGCTAAATTAGAACGATAATTTACTGCTATGAAAATAATTAATTAAAGCCTTTAAAAAACGAAGAAATTTGAGGAAAAAATTTAAAAGTATAACCAATGAGTTATGTTCAAGCGAAGAATTGATAGAAAGTCTTTCCGTAAGAAAAGTTAAATTAGCAAAAATGCTAAATACCTCTGAAATAAAACAAATCAATGATGGCTTGAAAGGTATGGAACTGATGTAACCCGCCTTATCCAGCAAAATGGTGCGTTTTTAAGCAAAAAATTGTCAAAAACTGCAACAGAAAAAGACAAAAAAATTTACAAATTTTAAAAAAAAGGTGTTTATCCACCCTGCTAAAGCCACCGTATTCAGTCTTAAGTCTAGTCCTAACTAGACGTAAGTAACTAGACACTAATGGAGTCATTTTAATAGATCTGTGATAAGAATGATTATAATTACAAAATAATTTGTCTAGTAGATCTAAATATTTATTTGTATCATTTGCAGCCATATATTTTCGAATTTTATAATTAATAGTTCTGTTAAATCTTTCAACAATAGAAAATTGTATTTAAATTTTTCTGTTGTAAGCCAGTAAATATTATTATCTTTAAATAATTTTTGAGTATCTTTATTAATAAATTCTGCTCCTTTATACGTTTGCAGTTTTTCCGGAATTCTTTCTTTAAAAATGAGTTAAAAAGCTTTTGTTACTTCCTTCCCTGCTTTCTTTGAATAGGAACACACCAAACATACTTACTAAAAATATCCATGACTGTTAAAATGTAATTCAATCCGTTATTATATTCACTAAAAGGTTTTATGAATAATAAATCGGCTTGCCCCTCATCATCAATGTGTGAAACATATATTCTTCTTTTAAATTTTCGAATAATTGGTTTAGATCTAGTATAAACATATAGTTCGTGTAAAAAATCTGCTATTTATTGCATAATTTTTCTTTTTAATTCATTGATACCCCAATAATCTTTTTGGGATCATAATATATATTTTCTACTTCTTTTTACTTGGAATTTGTTTCGTTTTTAAAAGAAAAAACATTCTTTTTAGAACCACTAATTTTACAAATACCTTTCATCATAGATCTTCCATTTTTAGAAGTTGCTTCGTGAGTATCTTCAGTATATGTAAATTTTTTACATTTTAAACAATATATATCAGATACGCCCATACCAAATGTTCTCATGGCTTTAATAATAGGTTTAACTATTCCTCTTTCTATTCTTTCCCAGATTGTAGGATGTTGGCGCCTATCTCGGCTTTGGCTACGTTTATCTTCTAATTTGGCGAAAAGAAGAGCTCTTGTTGTTTTTTGTTTTGATATCGTCGGACGTCTTCAAATGGCGTCATTCATCGTTTCGTTAATAAATAGTAAAATAGTTATCGTTTGTTCTTAATCATTCGTAAATACAGTCTGCATATCGACCCCCTCAACATGTTCCTGTCTACCCGGAGTTCAAACCTGATATAATTCGAAATTATTAATTTTGATCAACTTTCGTTTTCGTTTTGACATAACTTCGTTTTGGAACTCATATTTTCGATTTATAAAAATGACTGATACTTCAAACACTGAGGAACAATATGAAAAGAGCTTAAAACAATTGAATCGTCGTCGTGGTAGCTCTAAAAGCAAAATAACTAGGTTGGAAAGCTTTATTTCTACAAATGGAAATGAGGCTGATAGTCTCGAACTGCAATCTCGTATCTATAGCATAGGATTAATTCTTCAAGAAATTGAAGTTTTAAAACTGGATTATTATTCAATTTTGAAGGATGAAGAATTAGAAGCTTATCAATCCTATTTTGATGAAATGGAAGAACAGATAGAATCTTGCAAGGTAAGCTTACAAAGACTTTTTCATTCAAGAAGTTCTAATATTTCTCATTTGCATAACAATGAACAATTAAGTACTAGTAAAATAAATGTCAAATTGCCAGATATTTGCTTGCCTTGTTTTGATGGAAAAATCGAAAATTGGAATAACTTTAAGCTTCAATTTGATAGTTTGATAACTGAAAATCAGTCATTAAATAGCATGCAGAAATTGTTTTATTTACGTTCAGCTTTAAAAGGTGACGCTAAATATATTGAAACGCCAGAAGATACTTTTGAATCCTTGATGAAAATCTTAAAAGAAAGATTTGAAAATACTCGTTTAATTGTAAACAATTATATCTCGAACATTTTGAGTTTTGAAAAAATTTCTGCAGTATCTTATAAAGAATTGAGACATTTAATTGATACGTTAAATAAAAGTTTAAGAGGTTTAAAATTAATGAAATTGGAAACTAATCATTTTGTTGAACAATTAATAATTAATATAACTGTTCAAAAATTGGATAAGGAAAGTCGTAAGCAGTATGAAATGAGTTTAACTTCTACTGAACTTCCACAATTCAATACATTTATGGAATTTATTCAGAAAAGATGTCAAACATTAGAAAATCTTCAGGGAAACCGATTTTTTGTGAATAAAGCTAAGAATATTCAACATCAAAGCAAAGCACGCAACTTTGTTGTGAAATCGAATTGCAATAAATGCCATTTGTGTTCAAAGGACCATTTAATTTACAACTGTCCCTCTTTTTTAAAAATGTCACCAATACTCAGATTTGATGTTGTTACGAAAAATAATCTGTGCATTTATTGTTTAAATGTATCACATAAACTGAATTCCTGTCCATTGAAATTTACATGCAAATTCTGTCAAGCTAAGCATAATTCCTTATTGCATAGCAAGGAAAATAATTTACGCCAAACGGAAATTAATTCGGAATCTCTAATAGAGCAAAATTCGCAGGCGCCAGTCTGTAATCCAAGTTCTCAGGACATAAATAATGTTTCGAATGATAATTTAATATCTCATGTGTTCGCTACTACAAACACTTGTAGAAATAAAAACATAATTCTCGCAACGGCTCTAGCTTCGATTAGGAATCCTGTGTGCAACAGTTTTGTTCAAGGACATTTATTGTTGGATAGTGGAAGCATGTTAAATATTATGACTTCGTATTTCGCAAACAAAATCGAATTGAAAAGGGAAAGAATAAATATTCCAATAAGTGGGTTAGGAGGAAATGAAACAAATGTTAAATATAAATTGAATGCTCTTGTTTCTAATAAAGATTCATCGTTTTCGCTTCGCACTGAATTTTTAGTAGTCAATAAAATTACGGATTTAATTCCATCTAACACTTTGTGAATTTACAGAACATTATTATTCCCAATCATTTAATATTAGCTGATCCCTCTTTCGCTAAGACTGGAAAAATTGATATGATCTTAGGTGCTGAAAATTTTTTTGAAATCATTAAAGAAAATAAATATAGCACTTTAGAAAACTTAACATTTCAAGATTCTGTTTTTGGTTTTATTGCTAGTGGTTCATATGAATCCGAAAATCCAAAACATTATTGTAATTTAGTTTATCGTGCAGAAAACATTGAAAATAGCATTAAGAATTTTTGGGAAATTGAATAAATAGATAATTCCCGAATTTTGAGTGATGAAGAAGCATTTTGAGAAAGTCACTTTCAAAAGAATCATAAAAGAGCAGAAAGCGGTCGTTACATGGTCAAAATGCCTATTCGTGAGGAAGCGCTGGAAACTATGGGTGAATCTCGTTATATAGCTCAGAAACGCTTGAATCAGACCGTGAGAAGATTGAACACCAATCCTGAAATGAAGAAACTTTATTGTGAATTCATAAATGAATACGAAAATTTAAATCATATGGAAAAGGTTGTAGATGATGTTTCACCTTCTTTATCATATTATATGCCACATCATGGCATTTTTCGCCCGGACAAAACTTCTACAAAACTAAGAGTCGTATTTAATGCCTCTACGCCTACATCGACAGGACAAAGCTTAAATGACATATTGCTAACCGGAGAAGTGAGAGAAAACGTTTTTGATTTGATTGTTCGATTTCGAAAACACAAGATTGCCTTAACAGCTGATATTAGGAAGATGTTTCGTCAAATATTAATCGATCCGTCTCAAAGAGATTTATTGAGAATTTTGTGGAAAACTCAAGAAGACGAAGTGCCTACAGTAATCAGAATAAAAACACTTACGTATGGAACAAAAAACGCTCAATTTCTGGCCATTAGAACATTGAAGCAGTTAGCAATGGATGAACAGTTGAATTACCCTCTTGCTTCAGAAGTTGTTCTTTCTGATTTATACATAGACGATGTAGTTACTGGATCAACAGATCTTGAATCGGCTTTAATGTTAAAGACTCAATTGGTAAAAATGTTTGATAGCTGTGGCATGACCTTGCACAAATGGAACTCGAATTCCAGGGACTTGATCAATGACAGCAACTTTAACAAAGAATTCTCTTTCGAGACTGAAGAATCTACTAAAACACTAGGTATAATTTGGCAACCAGGACAAGATAAGTTCACTTTCAAAGTATGCGTGTCCCAGCAATCAGCCTATACCAAACGAGATGTATTGTCAGTCATTGCTAGGTTGTATGATCCAATTGGCTTTCTTGGACCCGTCATCAGTAGAGCTAAGATAATGCTTCAAACACTTTGGACTCAAGACCTTAATTGGGATGACAATTTGCCGGAGCACATTGCTCGAGAATGGAATCGTTTTGTCAGTAACCTGAAAGCTTTAGAGAACATTCGAATCGACAGATATGTTCTAATCTCTAAAGTTAAGAAAATTGCTCTCGTTGGATTTGCTGATGCTTCCACTTTGGCTTACGGAGCTGTGATATATCTTCATCCTGACAGTTCTAACTCTGCCTTTAAAATCCTAGCCAGTAAATCTAGAATTGCACCTCTAAAAACAATATCCGTACCTCGTTAGGAGTTATGTGCATGCTTTTTACTTGCTAAGTTAGTTCAAATAGTTATAGCTGCTTTAAGAATGGATATCAAAGAGGTCACTTTATTTTCAGACTCTATCATCGCATTGGCTTGGATTAACTCTTCTCCTCACCAATTGAAAACATTTGTTGAAAATCGTGTATCGAAAATTCAAACTCTTTCAAATAATTTTCACTGGAGACATATACCATCGGAGGAGAATCCTGCTGACTTGATTTCGCGAGGAATCGATCCTTCCGAATTGGAGTCACTGGACTTGTGGTTTTCTGGATCATCGAATTTAGACATTCAACCAACAGATCTACAATCCATTGAAAATTTGAATAGTGAACTTTATGAGCGTGAACTTAAAAAATCATCGAATATAACTCTTACTTTGTCTTCCAACTCAGACTTTGTTATTAGTTTTCTCACTTTAAGTAATAACTTTGTAAAACTAATTCGTATTTTGAGTTACATTTATAGGTTCATTTCTAATTGTCGGAAACAGGAAAGGATGTTTGGTCCCATCACTATAGAGAGGACTTTCAGCATGCAAAGCTTTCTCTAGTAAAGTTAGTACAGGTAATTGTATTTAGAAAGGAGATACATGCATTAAAAAATAAAAAAAGATTGAAGGTCAGCCACGCAAGTAATTTGAATCCTTTTCTTGATTCTAATGGTTTAGTTAGAGTAGGGGGCAGAATCAGCAATTCGATTTTATCTTATGATCAAAAGCACCCATTGCTAATTCCAAGAAATCATAAAATAACTACTTTAATTTTCCAGTATTTTCATTTAAAAAATTTGCATGTTGGTGCACAAACTTTGCTTCATTGTGTTAGACAAGAGTTTTGTCCCCTAAATGGTAGGAACACTGCTCGAAAAATCGTTCACGATTGCATAACATGTTTCAAAGCCAAACCTAAGATAGAACAGCAAATTATGGCTTCTTTACCGAAAGAAAGAGTTACCATAAGCCCCCCTTTTTCAAAAACTGGCACCGATTTATGCGGTCCCTTTCTTATTAAATATAAAAATCAGCGGAAGGGAATCTTAAACAAAATCTATGTTGTAATTTTTGTATGTTTAATTACTCGTGCCATTCATTTGGAAATAGTAAGTGATTTGACAGCAGAAGCATTAATTGCCACCCTTAAAAGGTTTTTCGCGAGAAGAGGTCTGCCTTCTATTATATTTTCTGATAATGCCACAAATTATACTGGTGCTCAATCTGAATTGAGAAAATTGCATGATCTTGTTAAAAATTCAGAAAATCTTGCTTCTTACTTATCCCATGAATTCGTTGTTTGGAAATTTATTCCTCCCAGATCGCCAAATTTTGGTGGCATTTGGGAGGCGGGAGTTAAATCTTTTAAGCACCATTTGAAAAGAACTATTGGAAACTCTAAATTAACATTAGAGGAATTTTTAACGGTTATAAACCAAATTGAAGGTGTATTAAACAGTAGACCACTTTTTCCCCTTTCTTCGGACCCCAATGATTTTGAGACCCTAACTCCCAGTCATTTTTTAATTGGGCGACCCATAAACAGTATTCCTGAATTTCCTGTTGCAGACATTCCTGATAATCGACTCTCTCGGTGGCAAAGGATACAAAAAATCAATCAAACTATTTGGAAAAAATGGTCAAGAGATTATCTAAATAATTTACAGCAAAGAAGTAAATGGTTATTCGAAAAAAACAATGTTAAACCAGGAACACTAGTTTTAATTAAAGAAGATAATCTACCCCTTTGTTCATGGATTATTGGTCGTATCCACGAGGTTATCCCAGGAAATGATGGAAAAATTCGAGTTGTTATAGTAAAAACTGCACAAGGTTTCTTTAAACGCAGCATATCAAATATATGCGTTTTACCTATCAATGAGTCTACTAGTAATTAGTTTACATGTTTATTTTTTTTCATTGTTGTCATAAAGAATGTGATTGAGTGCATTTAGTTTGCTTTTGAAAAATATGTTATTTGGTTATTTAGTCATAAATTTTTAGAACTTTTTTTTTTTCAGTTGCATTATAAATTGTCATTTATTGTTGTGTATGTATTTGTTTGAAATGGATATTTCAAAGCCGGGCGGTATGTTGGCGCCTCTCTCGGCTTTGGCTTCGTTTATCTTTTCATTTGGCGAAAAGAAGACTTCTTGTTGTTTTTGTTTTTGCTATCGTCGGACGTCTTCCAAATGGCGTCATCCATCGTTTCGTTAATAAATTGTTAAATAGTTATTGTTTGTACTTAATCATTCGTAAAATACAGTCCGCATATCGACCCCCTCAACAATAGTCTCAGCAGTTAATTCCCTTGGATATCGTTTGGTGCATTTTCCATCAGACAGACAAGGTGAAGTGTTGTTGAGTGAGCCACACGGACCATTAATCATATTTTAGATAATGACCTGTGTAGCGTATCTACCACTACAAAAACATAATTCCAATTCACTAGTATATAAGACTTGTAAACTCGATTCTATGGTGGGGATAGATGAAAGTTGACATTGTCGATAACTCCGCTCTCCACATTGGTGACCCGGACGTGATGCGAACCTACTTTGACAAAAATTCCCACTTCGATATGAACATGTCACCTTGACAGAAACTCCCTCTTCTATATGAAAACGCCTATCTTGTCAGTAACACCCACTTCGATTGGAACACGCCTACTTCGATCGATTGTCAACATTGAACAGTTGACTTGCAACTTGTGACTGCGACATCAACCATATCTCCTCGCACTGTTGCTACTCAGTCTCGTCTCGATCACACATAACGTCAGCCTGTATACACTCGACTGCTAATGGCAACACAGGAGCAATCACGACGGTGACCTTAATACAGCTCTCCCGGCTTTTCACAAAACAGCAATGAATCAACAAGTGGTATCGGTACATAGAATTCTATCACACATATAATTCTGGTGGGGGAGTACTGCAGC